CTTTGTCACTACTATTCTGTAATAAAAGTTATTCTTCATCAAGATCTTCGACGTCTTCACTTTTTCTTACATGCTCTATTCTTTACTGCTATATCTTTAAAAAAAAATACTACTATCAAAACTGCTTCACTACTGATTAACATTTGAGAAAAACAATTAAAAAATATTAATATCAGAGAGAGGACCCTGACAGACACTGTGTGACTGTGTGTGATGGTCAATAAATCACTTCAAATATCAGAGAAATTGATATTTTTATTGTTATAGTTACATCACATTTTAGAGTCATTAAATTAACTTTTGCTGAAAGTGGTGAAATGATTTTCAAAACCGTATGAAATTAACAAATGTATTTCTGTAAAACTGAAACATGTTTTATACAGGATTTCATAATTCATCATTGACTCAACTGATTGGCAAACATAGTCTAAAAATGAACTGGAAAGATGCTTGTGAAGTGGGTGGTTAACCACCATTGGCCAACAACAATTGGGTAAAAGATTGGAGAGAAAAAGGAAGGAAATAAGATCATACGTTTGCCTACTAAACTTCAAAAACACCACTTTTGTAAAAGCACTTCTTTACATTTACATTTAAATTTAATCATTTAGCAGATGATTTTATGCAAAGAGACTTACAAATGAGCAAAACAATAGAAGCAATCAAACCAACAAGAGAGCAACAGTATACAAGTGCTGTGACAAGTCTCAATTAGTCTAGCACAGTACACATAGCAAGGTGTTTTTTTTGTGTTTTTTTAATAAATTAGAGCTAATAGAATAGGTAAGTGCTAGTATTAATTGGTCAGGTGCTGGCGAAAAAGATCGACGTTCGAATTGCTCGAATTGAGATAGGCAGGTCATTCCACCAGCTGGGAAAAGTCCAGGAAAACATCTGTGAGAGTGATTTTGTGCCTCTTTAGGATGGCATCATTCACTTGCAGAACGCAAGCTTCTGGAGGGCGCATAAGTCTGAACTAGTGAGTTTAGATATTGGTGCAGCGCGAGTGGTTGTCTTGTAGGCAAATATCAGTACCTTGAATTTGATGCGAGCGGCTATTATTATCCAGTCCAAACTGATGAAGAGAGGTGTGACGTGAGCTTTCTTCGGCTCGTTGAAAACCACTCTCGCTGCTGCATTCTGGATCAGTTGCCGAGGCTTGATAGTACACGCCGGAAGGCCCACCAAGACAGCATTACAATAGTCCAGACTGGAGATAACAAGAGAACAAGAGAACAAGTGCTTGGACAAGGAGTTGTGTGGCCTGCTCTGATAGGAAGGGTCTAATCTTCCTAATGATGTATAAGGCAAATCTGCAGGACTGGGCCATTGTAGCAATATGGTCTGTGAAGCTTAACTGATAATCAATCACAACTCCAAGGTTCCTGGCTGTCCTTGAAGGAGTTACGGTTGACGAACCTAGCTGTATAGAGAAGCTGTGATGAAGTGCTGGGTTTTCTGAGATCACGAGCAGTTCTGTCTTACCAAGGTTGAGTTGAAGGTGATGGTCCTTCATCCAGCCCAGCCAGAAATATCTGTCAGACAGGCTGCAATGCGAACAGCTACCATCGGATCATCTGGTTGGAATGAGTAGAACTAGTTGAGCGTCATCAGCATAGCAGTGATAGGAAAAGCCATGCTTCTGAATGACAGATCCATATGATGATGTAGACAGAGAAGAGAAATGGTCCAAACACTCGGTAATTTTCGTCAGTTATGGCTCGTTAGCATTCTGCCTGCTTTAAATCAGACACAGATGAAGTAGTGCGGTAAGATCACATTTATTTGAATGAATTAATTATATCATTTATTTGAATGAATTAGCAAGAGAGAGATAGAGATAGAGATGAAAGTTGCGTGTTGCATGTGTTTTTGGACAAAGAAGAGAGGAGAAGGTTTTGAAAAGTGTGTGAGAGTGGGAACAATTGTTAATTTTGTTGTGATAGTATGCTGTTTTAGCAGTGGAGACATTTGCAGAGAAGGAAGAGAGGAGTGACTGATTTGCGCTACTTCCTTTCTGCAGCCCTAAGCCTAGAGCGATGTTCACGGAGGACATCGGGCAGCCAGGGGGCAGAGGCTGAGGGGGTGGTGCGTGATGGTCTGGATGAAAGGGGGAAAAAGTTGTCTAAGTAAGATGTTAGAGTGTCTAAGCAAGATATTAGAGTGAAGCAAAGAGTGTCAGTAGCAGTGTTAATGTCCAGTGCTGAAAACTATAAACTTTTCAACTTTTTTATTATATTTATATTTTATTTATATAATCAGGCTCTCTAACATTGAACCGCATCTCTGTGACCTGTAAGAATATTTGTGCTCAGAGAGAAACCAATGTGCAGTTGAAGTGCTCATATGACAACATCCACACCACTAGCATAGCCAGGAATCACCGTGGGCCCAGACAAAATTGGGTGGGCCTAGCCTAAAATGCATTTGTTATGAAAATAGGCCAATACAGCTACACCTGCTTGAAAACACCACTGTTTAATGTACTGTAAGAGCCACTGTAAGAGCATTCGCCTGTATGTCATCATAAGCAGTGTTAAGAACATAACGATAAGAACATTAGCACGGCGGCCACACCAAACACACACGCACGCATCTGACAGACGTCACCATTATCAAATCAGCAGGAGAGTAGTTGATAGTAGTGGACAGTAAAAATAACGCTTGGTCATTGCCTGGCTCAGCGGCCACATAAACCACATGAAATAAACAACAGTGACTAGGCAACTACATAGTAGGAAAATGTAGATTGTCTTAGTTTTGACCGTAGACCAATGTTTCTGCTTTTTATTCAGCTCAGCTACCGCGATCGCTGGATGCCTTTGTCCATATTAGGGTTTTCCTGCACGTACAATTGTTTACTGTGATTGAGTTTTCTTCATTTTTACTCTATTCAGACATGCAAGTGAGGATTAATTCTGCATCTACAGACCCAAGAAATGAGACAGTAGAACTGACCTGTGAGGCAATTCCTGTGATTTGACGCCCAGACCTCAGATTTACTACTGGAAAAAAAAAAAAAGAAACTGACAATATTCAAATGATCTTGCTCATTCCAGACGCATTGATGGTACCTTTTGAAAATCTGTTGACAATAAGTAATGTTGCACCTACATGTCTAAAAAAAAAACATAGGAAAACTCACAAAACCCTTACCAATACAAATTAAAAGCCATCCATTCTTTTTTTAATAAACTTAATTTTTATGGTCAGATAAAACACTGTTTTTATTACGTACTTAATGCATGATTGCGAAACTCGACCCCCTGCTTGAAGGCCTGAAAATCTAAAAACAGGACACAGCATTGCTTGCCCAAAATATTAGAACACAAATCCTGGTTAATAACCAGTTTGTATGCTTATTAAATTATTTTATTGATTTTTCTGTGCATCGTTACTGTGGTTACAGTTCATCCATTGAAATATAAAATAAAGTGACCACCTGCAGAAATAAAGAGGAGACATCACTTTATTAAAGTGGATCCTTAAAGGATATTTAGAGAATAAAACTTTCTTCTTACATTTAGCATATGGAGGGGGAAAACCTAAAACCTGGACTATCATTTTGTTTTGTTTTAGATTTGCTTGATTATGCAGAATAACAGTCATTGATATGTCACTGTCTATGACATCACAGTATCACAGATGTTGCTGCAGACAGTTCTGTCTGTTGCCAGGTGATAATTTCACAATGGAAGAACACAATGAAGCTGTAAACTAGTTTACATGTTTTAGAAGAAACTGGTCTACAAAATAATCCAATAAAGTCTCCTAGTAGCCTGTGTGTGTGTGTGTCACTTCTTGACCAGTATTTATGAAAATGTCCTATTAATGCTGTCTTCACGTGCTTTTAGAAACTTCCTACTTCCCACTTCTGAAGTTGTAATTGTCACGTTTGCTTTGTTGTCGGAAAGAACAGGCATCACAGTGGACGGCCCATTCATAAATTCATTCTTGCCTGTTTCTTGGGAAAGTCTTAAGCCAAAAGGTATAGAAGATATTTAGACAAGATCCAACAGGTTTGAATAAGATGTAGCATCCCATTGATTGGTAACTATATGAACATTCACTGTGCAATCTACACTTTCTCTGTTTTTGCTGTGTTCAATACAAAAAATATGCATCAAATGGTTATTTTTATACGTAAATATACTGTACATGGCCGTAATGGTAGAAGAAAGCAATGTAGATGTTGTGAGAAAAACGAATAAAACTTTATATTAATACAGCTTTGTTTCTCTCCTCTGCCATATTTAAAGTTTATGACTCGCCCAACTCAGAAACTCGGGTATCAAAATAGGTCTGGTAAATTGTTAACTGGTTTCCAGTGCATATCCATCATATTGTGGACAATCAAATGAACTGTTTTTCTGAATGTTATTAATCATTCTGATATTGAAATGGGAAAAAAAGCCTAACTAAAAATGCCTGAAGTAGCTTTCCTATATCTTTTATTATTTATTTAAAATAGCATGTGGTGCAACTGTCATGTGGTGTCAATTGTAAATATATTTATAAATTAATTCACAATAATTCATGAAAAAATACATTAAAACATTTTAAAACATTTTTGAAGACAATGATTAAGATGTTCACTCACTCATATATTCAGGGTGTAAAGAAACATTTTTTTTTTGTTTCTTGATGGTCACAATTACATCACATTTTAGAGTTTAATTTTACTTTTGTTGAAAATGGTGTAAAGGTTTTTCAAAACTATATGAAATCAACAAACACATTTCTGTACATTTGAAACATGCTTTAAACAAGATTTATCCCTATTTGCCATTGACTCAACTGATTGGGAAATTTAAAATCTAAAAATTAACTGGAAGGTTCCAAACATAGAGATGCTCAAGAAGTGAATGGTTAACTGCAGTTGCCCAACAACAAGTGGGTAAAAGACTGGAGAGAAAAATAAATAAGATCATCTGATTGCCTGCTAAACTGACATAAAAAGACATTGACACCACATTTCTTTACCCATGTTTTAACTTGAAACAAATGCAGTTAATGTAGGAGCTATTGTGATAAATGGCTTGAAATTAATGTGTGCTTGCCTCACTATGTTGTTCTTGTTGTTTTACTCTAGACAAAGAAGTGAATTATTTTGAAAGTTAAAGCATGGACTTCAGAATCGCATCAGTGATCTTACTTCTACACATTTCAGGTAGGATTATTGCATTAATAGATTGCAGTTATTTCATCAAAATTTGTTCCAACACAGACTAAAGACATTTTAGACTTTAAGGAGAGATGCCTCACTGCTCTCATAGTGAATCACTTGGTTTGTCAGATGAGAATCTCTCCATCAATGCAAACCTTTTGGTCTCAATGTTACTTAATTCTTTCTCTTTTCTCTCTTTTTTTTTAAATAAGGCTCGCTAACATTGAACCGCATCTCTGTGACCTGTGAAAACATTTGTGCTCTGAGGGAAACCAACGTGCAGTTGAAGTGTTCTTATCAGTGATCTTACTTCTACACATTTCAGGTAGGATTATTGCATTAATAGATTGCAGTTATTTCATCAAAATTTGTTCCAACACAGTCTAAAGACATTTTAGACTTAGAGATGCCTCACTGCTCTCATAGTGAATCACTTGGTTTGTCAGATGAGAATCTCTCCATCAATGCAAACCTTTTGGTCTCAATGTTACTTAATTCTTTCTCTTTTCTCTCTTTTTTTTTAAATAAGGCTCGCTAACATTGAACCGCATCTCTGTGACCTGTGAAAACATTTGTGCTCTGAGGGAAACCAACGTGCAGTTGAAGTGTTCTTACGATGACACCAACATCAAAACTGTGTTCTGGTTCATCGAGAAACAAAGTACAAACTGGAGAAAAAACAATGAACCTGAAGATTTGACTTTAGACTCAGACTACTCAGGACGGGTGAAGCAGATCATTGGTAAATACGAAGCAGAACTCACAATAGCAGACGTGAGAGAAAGAGACTCTGGAGAATATCAGCTCATGTTCATCATGAAGGATGGAGTTAAACATCTCAGCTCAGCGGCCATCATTCTAACAGTCACAGATCTTAGTCATCTTATGTGGACACATTTAAAGGTATTTTCATACCAAGACTAATGTTCATCATGAAAATTCTGTGCGATTTCCACTTTTTCTGTTCAAATCAAAGTGCCGCTACGTCACAGAAATATGGACATGGAGGAAGACCACGAGGACAGGGGGCCCATTCCAATCCACACTCTTGGTGTCTTGGGACTTGACCACTGGTTACATGATGTAGATTTCATGAGTTTGCCGCAAGTGTTCAAATGGATGTTAAGACCTCAAGTGTATGTAAAATTTTTGAATCGTTGAAGTTTCTGTCATTGCCATTGTGCAGAAGAGTAGAGCTTATGGTTATGGATAACTGCATGTACTACTACTGATGCATGATGCTTTGTTCAATGAGCAGTAGCTTTGCTAATGCTAGTGTAGTAAAGTTTTTTCCTACTTGAGCTATTTGGCTGTATACAGTCTTTTAATTGTACAAAATAACTCAAAGTCAAATACAAACAGACCTTATGTCAGGATCCTGCCCTGACTGTCTTGTTTTTGCTCAATGTTTCTTTGTTTGTTTTGTGTCTAAGCACATGGTTCTCTCTCTGTTTGTGTCTGCCACGTTCTCCTCTTGTCCCACCTCCTTGTTTCCCCTGGTCACGCCCCCTTGTTTATTCTTGTCTGCTTGATTGTTTTCACCTGATCCTCATGTGCGCTGCTCCATATGTTGGGTTCCTTTTCCTTGTGTCTCTGCTGGTTCATTTTGGTGTTTACTTGATTCTTGGTCCAGAATTTATCCTTTTGATCTTGCTTAAGTTATTTTATATCCTCGTTTCCTTTTTGTCTCTTCTAGTTCTGTGTAGTTCTTGCTGTTTGAATTTTGATTTAGGTTTTATTTACTCTTGTTTTTGCGGTTCCAGTTCCTTTTTGGATCTTGGCTTTTTGGTTTTACTCTTTGATTTATTTCTTTGGATAGTTTTGGTTATTTATTACTTTTGCTTTGCTCACATTTTTGTTTTCAATTGTCTCTTGTTGTGTTGTCTTGAGCCTCGTCTTGTTTGTTTTCGTGTTTTGTCCTATCTTGCCCTAACCCAGATTCCCTAGCCACTGACCCCCCACTGCCTGGAAGCAGCTCTCCTCTCTCATGTGTCAAGTCTCTGGTGCTGTGAGTCCCTACCTGGTGGCTAGACTGGTGCGACATTTGAGTTTCACTTCAAGCTACGGGTTCCCTGTGTTCCTGCCTGGTTCTTCCTCTGGAGCTGTCTCCTCCGTGCTCGAGTCCGTGGCCATCTCGGACTGTCTCAGTGGTCGTCCCTCCTGCCCGTATTGTGTCATCTGCCCTGCCCCGCTGTTTGGACTGTTTCACTCCTCATTCCCCCTGCTGTTCTAGTCTACGTCTTGTTAATAAAATACCCATGTCATGCTCATTTGCATTTGGGTCCCATTTCTTGCAGATCCTTGACCCCTTACTCAAAATCACGGATTTTTGAGAATCAACTTTAAAATAAATGAGCACATTTCACTAATAATATTAAAATCACTGTATCATAGATTAAATTAGTAGATAGATGAATCCTGTACACCGGAGCAAATTAGATGGCGAATTCTGTCTCTATGGGAAGTGTAAAATCGGGAAGTTTGCTAAAGGGGTTTGTTCCCCACACCGTTTCTCACCAGATTCAAGTTCGTGAACTTTAATGCAAATTCACTGCACTGATTGAAATGAGCTGCAAGATTGGAAGACCTGAGCGAGCACCGCTTCTCGCAGCCCTATATCATTGATATGGATTCTTTGCCCACAAATCATCACTTTAGTTGTACTAAATTTCGCTACTAAAGGCTGTTATTCAAATGCTAACAACATCATCTGGGTAAGGGCAACATGCTTATTGCTTAATCTTCGGGTATTGGCCATATGTTTGTTGCTTAATATTTGGGTGTTGACCATATGCTTGTTGCTTAATCTTTTCAGGTACTGCATTAAAGGGGCATGCCGCTCTTCTCATCTGCTTATAAAGATGAGCACCCCTTTGCTGCGACTCTTCTCCTGTAAGGGCCATGCTGCCCCAGCCTCTGCAGTTTCAGAAGGACATGCTTCTCCTTTCAGATTTATCATCAGTTTGTGGTTGGGGTGTGACAGCCTATGGTTTGTTTGGGGGTTATTACTGCTCTCCCTGCTCATTCATGACAGGCTGCATGGATGAGCGGGGAGTTTTTGCCCAGAACAGAACCATACCGCCAATCCACACTGTATGCAAGGTGTTAATCATTTTGACGATAGTGGACCTGACAGAAATACTATTATCAAACCTGCTTCACTGTGTATTTATATTTGAAAAACAATTGAAATGGCAAAACAAAACAGAAAATTACACCATAGTGACAGTCAATAAGTCACTTAAAATATTAGAAAATTGAATGTTTTTATGACAAAGCAAGTTTATTTTGGGTTACGAAATATCATGTGGTGGGACTGTCATGTGGTGCCATACGAAAATATATTTATAAATTAATTCATGAATTTTTTTTTAATAATAATAAAACAAAAATGCTTTAAAACATATTTTTAATCATTTTTGAAGATATTGACATTCACTCACTCATATTTAGGGTGTAAAGAAAATACTTAATTTAATTTAATAGTCATTAAAGCCTAGCCATTTTTCAAAACCATATGAAATCAACAAACACATTTCTGTAAATGTTAAACATGTTTTAAACAAGATTTATCCTTGTTTGTCATTAACTCAACTGTTTGGGAAACGTAAAATCTAAAATTTAACTGGTAAGTTCCAAACATAGAGATGCTCAAGAAGTGAGTGGTTAACTGCAGTTGCCCAACAACAAGTGGGTAAAAGACTGGAGAAAAAGGAAGGAAATAAGATCATCTGATTGCCTGCTAAACTTCAGACATTGACAGCACATTTCTTTACCCATGTTTTAACTTGAAACAAATCCAGTTAATGTAGGAGCTATTGTCATAAATGGCTTGAAATTAATGTGTGCTTGCCTCACTACGTTGTTCTTGTTTTTTTACTCTAGACAAAGAAGTGAATTATTTTGAAAGTTAAAGCATGGACTTCAGAATCGCATCAGTGATCCTACTTCTACACATTTCAGGTAAGATTATTGTGTTAATAGATTGCAGTTATTTCATAAAAATTTGTTCCAACACAGACTAAAGACATTTTAGACTTTAAGGAGAGATGCCTCACTGCTCTCATAGTGAATCACTTGGTTTGTCAGATGAGAATCTCTCTATCAGTGCAAACCTTTTGTTTTCAGTGTTACTTTGTTAATTTTCTTTTCTTCCTTTCTGTCTTTTTTTTTTTTATCAGGCTCTCTAACATTGAACCGCATCTCTGTGATCTGTGAAAACATTTGTGCTCTGAGGGAAACCAATGTGCAGTTGAAGTGCTCTTACGATGACACCAACATCAAAACTGTGTTCTGGTTCAGTGAGAAACAAAGTACAAACTGGAGAAAAAACAATGAACCTGAAGATTTGACTTTAGACTCAGACTACTCAGGACGGGTGAAGCAGATCATTGGTAAATACGAAGCAGAACTCACAATATCAGACGTGAGAGAGAGAGACTCTGGAGAATATCAGCTCATGTTCATCATGAATGATGGAGTTAAACATCTCCGCTCCGTCAGTCTAACAGTCACAGGTGACACTGAGTCGAGATTCTGGTCACTTTTCATTCATCAAGTTTTATTAATTTTTACTCCGTATTCAGTCCTGCAGGTGAGGATGAATCCTGCTTCTACAGACCAGAGAAATGAGACAGTAGAACTGATCTGTGAGACTTCCTGTGATTTGACGTCCATACCTAAGAATTACTACTGGAAAAAAAATGGACAATATGAAAAAAGTCTCAGTCATTCCAGGAGCATTGAAGTTTCACTCGAAGCTGCTGCCAGTTACTCCTGTTTTCTTACTATAGATCTTATGAACTCCTCCTCTCCTGTGTGTGAGTGACACTTAATATTTTTATTGAATTAGCACTAATATAATATCAGTGTTTGTTCATACATGAGTATATGAGGACACATTTAAAGGTATTTTCATACCAAGATTAAAGGGGTCCTATTATGCTCTTTTACAAAGTCTTGATTTTGTTTTGGGGGTGTACTAGAACAGGCTCTCATACTAGGTTGTTCGAAAAACACATTATTTTTCACATATTTTACATTATTACAACACCTCTCTCCCCAGTCTGGCATGAACGGCTTGAGTTCCTGTATTTGAAAAAGTGAAAAAGCATAATAGGACCTCTTTAATGTTCGTCATGTAAATTCTGTGCAATTTCCGCATTCGTGTGTCTAAATAGTGCCATTACGTCACAAAATTATGGACTTGGAGGAAGACCACGAGGACTTAGTGTGCCATTTGAGACAAGAAGCCTGTCAAAAACAGCCAGAATATCGATTGTTGTTCTTGTCACTTTGATTTTGCCACAATACAGCACTTCACAATACACATACAGTAGTTTCAAAGCAGCTTTACAGAATATCATAATGTTATTTCTATAATGCCTTCAACAAGTTTTAGGGTTGGGTGATATATATAACGATGATACAAGTGATCATCCAGATTTAGTTCTAGCTGTATTGTATTATAGTGTTGTCAAGCAGATTAAGTGTAAAGGCTTTTGTATGGCTTTGTTTTATTTCTTTGATGTTGAAATCAGGTACATATAAATGTCAGAGAACCCTATTCTTGGCCACATGTCAATGTTCATGGGCCACTGGTTCTTTAAGTCATAAGGATCACTGTTGAGTCCAACTGCCTTTAATTTAAGCAGATAATAATTTGTTTTACTCCTGTTTTTACAGTTTCTCCTACTAGTGCCAACCAAGTTGCAGGGTGTTCTTCCACTCACTGAGTGGGTGTGTTCCATTGCATACCCTTGATACTTTTCCTAAGCAGTAGTAGAGATAGTGTGGATTTAGTGTGCTTTAAAGGGATAATTCACCCAAAATAATAATAATAATTTGACTCTCAAGTGGTGGTAACTGCTGACTTGCATTTTATGAATCACCATGGACTACGGTTTTAGCTAAAAATCTTCTTTACTGTTCTACTGAAGATAAAGTCACCTACGTCTTGGATTGCCTGAGGGTGAGTGAATTAACAGCAATTTTTCATTTTTGGGTGAATTATTCCTTTAAGAGCACTGAGCTTTGGCTTTTTCCCAACCAGGCACGGTCTTGCACACTTACTTCCTGTCTCATGTTCATGTTCTCTCAAGTCACAAATGTGTGTATCAGCAGCCCAGGGCCAGCAAAATAGTCTGTGACTGATCGGCTCTCGGTTATAGTTTTATGTACTAGTAGCAGCTCCGTTTATGTGACCAAAAGCCTAAATCTTATTGTTTGGACAGTTTACTTCTCAGTGCGATGGGTGGGAAAGAGATCAGAACCCCTCTCCCATTAACAGCCATTGAGTCAAATTAAAATCATAAAATGTTTATCACATTGAATTTTCACACTGAACTTTCATCTTGACGTGAACATACCTTAAATGTGAGTTTCACCGCAGTATTCTGTCTCTTTCAGGCATTTCTAAGAGTGGCTGCTGGGATGTGACTTACACCTCTAGAAGAGTCTGTGCTTTGGTGGGCTCAACAGTAGACATTTCCTGCACATACTCACATCCCTCTGGTTCTACTGTATATAATACATTCTGGCATTACGTTCAGCCTGGGGGATTCAAGGATCTGCGTGAGGACCAGGATTTTGCTGGTCGTGTGGAGTATGTGGGGAACAAACTGAGAGTCAAAGAACTCAAGATCAGCGACTCTGGAGAATATCGATTCAGGTTCATCACTGACTTAGACCAATACTCTGGATCACCTGGAGTCATTTTTACTGTTACAGGTAACTGATCACTATAAACTGATTGTTCAAAATGTTTCCTTTATAATTTCTAATGGGCTATTTTTTTTTTCAGATACTCAGGTGAAAAGCAGCCTATCTGTTGTATCAGAGGGACAGGAAGTGATATTAAGCTGTTCAACTAAATGCACTCTGAACAACAAACATACTTACATCTGGTACAAGAACGGACGACAGGTAACGAATGGATTCACTAAAGCTAACAAGCTGTACCTGGACTCAGCCAGCAATGAAGAGCTTCACCAGTATTCCTGTGCTGTAGAAGGTAACACATCTCTCATGATACATGTGCTTCATTGTGAAATGTTTGCAGCATTCAGATAAAGTACTTAATATTTAGTTAGTGTTTTAATATCATAAGTATATTTCTCTTTTTCTTTGAGTATATCTGAGTTTTTGTTTCATGCTTCTTCTTTTAGAAATCGAGTCGAACACAGTTTTACTAAGCACTGTAATCATACTGTCCGTGTTTCTGATTCTTGCACTCATAGGAGTCCTGTGGTACAGGTAAATATTTGTTTTCATCTATTGTGTCAGTGTTTAGGGCTTCTGTGCAAACTAGGGATGTACAACTTATTTTACTGATGTTTAAACTGACCTTTGTAACGGGCTAGTCTAAAAGGAAGAAACCCTCACAATTAAAAACATTTGAAATACTTAAACTATGAATCAAAAAGTCAAATAATTCCTTATTCAAATTCTTCTTATTTTTCCATCCACCAAGCGGTTAAAATTTACAACACTGATGGCAACAAAAGCAGCAGACAGGATGAATGAAAATTCTGTGCATATACTATGCAGTATAAAGCTGTGCATATTAACGCTATTTTATTAGGCATTGTACAGAGATAACTTGAAAATGTTAAGGAAACCTGAAGAAACTCAGTTACCTTTCATTCATAATGTTTACTTATTTAAACCGGTAAATACTGTCTCACACCTAGCCCGTCTTCTAAGCGGACATTTCTCTAAGACTGCAGTGACAAGAAGAAAATGCATACATGCAAGGTCTGAGGTGAAATTAAATGAATTTGTTTTCTACTCCAGATATTTACTTTTCAAAATATTGTATTTTTAAAAACGTAACATTAAAATGACTAAATTAAAATTTTCAATCTCGACTTGCATCAGCAGCTGTGCTTTCTTATTTGCTGTGGGAATTCTGCCAGACCTAGTTGTTAAAGTCAGACTGAAATGATCAGGGACCATGTGAACTCTTTCCAACTATTGAGATCCTTGAGAACAATCTGCAGAGCAGTAGGTGCTACACAGAAGAAACATCACAAGTTTTGACGGACTTTTATTCTACCCTTATTTCTTCTGTTTTTTAAAGACCCCCTGTGTGAAACTCAAGTTTTTAATGTTGTTTACATGTGTGTCTGGCGTTTTTAATATGCTTAAAGACAAACCATGTGCAAGTTCATCAGTCAGGCGAGTATCTTCTCCTTAAAACTGCAGTGTGCCAAAATGGCTGTTTGAAGCACCTGTTTCCTGCTGTCACAAACATGTAACCAATCCTGTCACCTTGCAGGGTGGGGTTTTTAAATCTAGTTAAATCCTGTTTTTGCAGCATTGAGTAATGTAGCTAATCACACACATATCTGTTTTCTTGAATGCAGTGGCCAATCAGAAGCTCTTAAGTTAGTCAAAATCCACTCGCCTGTCAGGGTTCTGTCACTTCGGTCTAGTGTAATTCATGGTTTTGTGACCGAGCCCTGACACTCCCGTCGTGTCGTTGTTTTCATGTGAGCACGCGGCTTCAAGAGTGCTCGAGCCGTGCGCTCTCGTCTGCGTGTCCTGTTTCATGTTGGAGCGTGCTGTTCGGATCCCGGCACGTCGAATGTTCCCTGTCGTGTGTCTTGTCGTGCCTTGTCCTGCCATGCAGTCAAGTTGCCAGCTGTTTTTTCCCCTATGGGGTAGTTTTTGTTTGTTTTGTTTTGTTTCTGCCTTTAATAAAGCCCTTATCTTCCTGCAATATTGAGTCCTCGCTCCATCCTTCATCCCCAACCCTGACAGAACGAACTGGCCAACATGAGGACTCAGCAGAAGAAGGTTTTGCGTCGTCCACCAGCCTCCACTCTCTCCAGCCCCCACTACCAGCGCATGCTCCAATTTAGGACCTTGAGCTCCCTCCGTCAACAAGGGACTGACGTGAGGAATTTTGCCCTGGAGTTCAGTGGTGCTGCAGAGGGGTTGGGGTTTAATTATGCGGCCCTCAAGGACCTCTTTAATTACGCCATTGATGAGCCCCTCAATTGGTGGAGAATGAGGGGGCTGGACCACCTGACGTTTGGGGGATTTGTGGAGTTTTTGGCACGTCCCCCAGCTGACGAAGCTGCTGCTCCCCCAGAGACGGCCGAAGAGGCTGCAGCGCCCCCAGCGACTGCCGAGGAATCTGGTAAACAGAGGAGGAAGAATGGTAACGCCTCACCACCCCTAGAGGCGGCTGAAGAGGCCGTAGCGCCCCTAGCGCCCCTAGATGAGGCTGCAGCACCCCCAGCGGTGCCTGATGAGGTTGCAGTGCCTGCAGTGGTGGTGGAAGAGGCCACTGCGCCCCCAGAGGTGGCCGACGAAATTGCAGTGCCCCGCTCTCGGAGACGGAGGAGGAGGAAAAGGGCTTCCTCCATCCCACATGGCCTGGAGGCCATTCCAGCCCCTCACAAGCCCCTGGCCCTGCCGGCGCCGCCCAAGCTCCTTGCCCTGATGCCGGCTCCCGCCTTGATACGGGCTCCACCCTTCCTGCCTGCCAAGCTCCCTCCGGCGCCGCCCTGGTGGTCCGCTGGGGGTCCTGTTAAGCCGGAGCCTCCCTGGTACGTCCCTCCGGCTCCGCCCTGGTGGCCTACTGGGGTCCTGGTTAAGCCAGAGCTTCCCTGGTCTGTTCCTCCGGTCCCGCCCTGGCTCCCCGAGATTCCTGGGCTGCCTGAGCCTCCCTGGCTCAACTCTCCTGCCCCTCCCTGGTTCCTGTAATTACTTTCTGGGCTGTACCGCTGGCACTGGCTTGGCTCCCCTCCCTCCCTCCCCTCCTTGTCTCTGTGTTTAGATTTTTCCTGTCTTGTGTTGTCTGTGGTGTATCGGTCTTGTTGTCATGTTTGTTCTGGTCGTGTGCTGTCATGGTCCTGTCTTGTTTTTGGTGTTCCTCGTTAGGGACGCCAGGTGGCGTCCCTTTTGAGGGGGGCTAGTGTCAGGGTTCTGTCACTTCGGTCTAGTGTAATTGTCTTGACCCCACCCATCTTGTTACCTGATTATTGGTTAATTTGCCCCACATGTGTTCCCTCGTTACCCTCCTCATTTGCTCTCCATTTATTGTCCTTGTGTTTGCAGTCCTGGGCGAGTTTGTCGTCGAATGTTCCCTGTCGTGTGTCTTGTCGTGCCTTGTCCTGCCATGCAGTCAAGTTGCCAGCTGTTTTTTCCCCTATGGGGTAGTTTTTGTTTGTTTTGTTTTGTTTCTGCCTTTAATAAAGCCCTTATCTTCCTGCAATATTGAGTCCTCACTCCATCCTTCATCCCCAACCCTGACAGAACGAACTGGCCAACATGAGGACTCAGCGGAAGAAGGGTTTGCGTCGTCCACCAGCCTCCAATCTCTCCAGCCCCCACTACCAGCGCATGCTCCAATTTAAGACCTTGAGCTCCCTCCGTCAACAGGGGGCTGACGTGAGGAATTTTGCCCTGGAGTTCAGTGGTGCTGCAGAGGGGTTGGGGTTTAATGATGCGGTCCTCAAGGACCTCTTTAATTATGCCCTTGATGAGCCCCTCAACTGGTGGAGAATGAGGGGGCTGGACCACCTGACGTTTGGGGGATTTGTGGAGTTTTTGGCACGTCCCCCAGCTAAGGAGGCTGCAGTGCTGCCCGTGGTGGCTGACAAAGCTGCAGCGCCCCCACTGGTTGCTGGAGAGGCTGCAACTCCCCCAGAGGTGACTGACGATGCTGCAGCACCCCTAGTGGCAGCCGACAATGCTTCAGCACCCCTAGAGGCGGCCGAAGAGACGGCAGCACCTCACTCTCGTAAACAGAGGAGGAGTAGGAGGAAGAATGGTAACGCCTCACCACCCCTAGAGGCGGCTGAAGAGGCCGTAGCGCCCCTACAGGCGGCCGATGAGGCTGCAGCACCCCCAGCGGTGCCTTATGAGGCTGCAGCGCCCGCAGTGGCGGCCAAAGAGGCTGCTGTGCCCCCAGAGGTGGACGATGATGCTGCAGCGCCCCCAGAGGTGGCCGACAATGTTACAGTGCCCCAGTCTCGGAAACGGAGGAGGAAAAAGGCTTCCTCCATCCCACATGGCCTGGAGACCGTCCAGGAGCCCGCTGCTGGCCTGGAGGCCGTCCCAGACCCTCTCAAGCTCCTTGCCCTGCCGGTGCCTCCCAAGCTCCTTGCCCTGCCGGCACCGCCAAAGCTCCTTGCCCTTCCGGCACCGCCAAAGCTCCTTGCCCTGCCGGCTCCGCCCGGGCTCCCTGCCCTGCCGGCGCCGCCTAATCACCTGGCCCTGATGCCGGCTCCCTCCTTGATATGGGCTCCACCCTTCCTACCTGCCAAGCTCCCAGCTCCGCCTTGGCCCCCTGTTAGGACTCCAGAAGCAGGAGAGTCTGCTTGGTCTATCCCTCCGGCCCCGCCCTGGCTGTCTGCTGGGGTTCCTGTTAAGCCGAAGCCTCCCTGGTCTGTCCCTCCGGCTCCGCCCTGGCTCCCCGGGACTCCTGGACTGCCTGAGCCTCCCTGGCTCAACCCTCCCGCCCCTCCCTGGTCCCTCTAATCACTTGCCAGGTTGTACTGCTGGCACTGACTTGTGCTTTTATGTCTTGTTTTGTCTTGTGCTGTGTAGCATGCCGCTTGGTTTTCGCTGGCTACATGCTGTCTTGTCTTGTGTGAACACGCGGCTTATCAGTTTTCTCATTAGCTGCGTGTTCGTGTCTTTTGTTCAAGCACATGGCTTGTGATTGTTTTGCTGGCCATGTGCTTTTGTTTTGTGTGAGCACATGGCTTTTGTCTTTGTTTCCTGTGTGCCATGTGCTCTCATGTCAATTGTCTTGACCCCACCCATCTTGTTACCTGATTATTGGTTTATTTGCCCCACCTGTGTTTCCCTTATTACCCTCCTCATTTGCTCACTATTTATTCTCTTTGTGTTTGCAGTCCTGTGCCAGTTTGTCATTGCAATATTGAGTCCTCGCTCCATCCTTCATCCCCAACCCTGACATCGCCGCTTAAAAAGTTCTGTTCAGTGATGAGTTCTGTGCACTCCCGAATCCTCTCACTATAACAAGGAAGGTGGCACGGTGTAAATAGGACATTAACTGCGCATTGATTATAACATTAATGAAATCGCAATTAACTAAGAGGAGTAACAGCTTTTTGGTGGTTATAAGGGGAGCGCTCTTTGTCTTTCTAGGCTGTAATCCATTCAGAATTTGAATACATCGCAAATATACACTCACACACTCGCGAATTCATTCTTGAAAATAGTGAATGACATAGCGATAACTATTAATCCAAGATTGCCACTGCCGTTGTGTAGCGTTTACTTCTGTTAAAGGGGTCATATTATGCAATTTCATGTTTTCCTTTGTCTTTGGAGAGTTAAAAGCTGTTTGTGCATACAGAAGATCCGTAAAGTCGCAAAGATTAAAGTCTCAAACCCAAAGAGATATTCTTTATAAAAGTGAACGCTCAGCTACGCCTTCCTAAAACGCCTCGTTCAAACACGCCTCTGTGTTTAGATTTTTCCTGTCTTGTGTTGTCTGTTGTGTATCAGTCTTGTGTTGTTATGTTTGTGCTGGTCTTGTGTTGTCATGTCTTGTTTTTGGTGTTCCTCGTTAGGGACCCCCTTTTGAGTGGGGGTAGGGTCAGAGTTCTGTCACTTAGGTCTAGTGTAATTCATGGTTTTGTGACCGAGCCCTGACACTCCCGTCGTGTCGTTGTTTTCATGTGAGCGTGCGGCTTCGAGAGTGCTCCACGCCTTCCTAAAACGCCTCGTTCAAACACGCCCCCACAAATCTACTTAACTGTGTGGGAAGATTTGCATAACACCGCCCAAATGTTTACGCAAAGAAAAAAGGCATGTCGTGGAGACGCTGTGTGTTTCGTTGTGAAAGCTAAACTACTTTCTTTGGCCTTCCAAAAGAGGACACAACTAGAAATCAGTGGTTAAGTTTTATTTACAACACTGTTCCAGAGCAGTTCAACCCAACATTTCCGCACACGCTTGAGGAATTCGGCCAATCACAACGCACTGGATAGCTGGCCAATCAGAGCACACCACGCTTTTCAGGACGATGAGCTTTGTAAAAATTTACACGTTTCAGAAAGGCGGGGCATAGAGGAGTAACAATAATGTACAGTTTTTGAAAAAGTATTTGTTTTTTGAACCTTAAACCGCGTAAACACATTGCATTACACCAAATGACCCCTTTAACTGTGAAACTGTGAAAGTGGAACAGGTCTGAGTTAGTGCGAATGAGTTAAGGCGGGAACTAGGTAGCATATTCATGGATCTGCGTAAACTCAATGAGGTAATGAGTATCATAAACCCTTATAAGCAAGTACCAGATATGGGGGCCATGTCATAAAATACTTGAATACGAATGAATTTGTATTTAACTTGATCAGTTTACTAAAAACATTGTAAGCTACGCTTTCATTTCCACAGTTATTCAAACAGCGAATAAAAAATATACCGAAAGCGAGCAAAGAACATTTAGGCTAAATTATGAAAGAATATATGACTATAGTCTAGCGCGAGTTTAACCACTCTCAAAAAACTCCCGTTATAATCAGTGAAGCTGTCTACACTGTGAAATTAATCTCTTATTTGTGAGGCCTACATCACACGCACATCTGCACTTTTCTGTTTATGATCAGAGAATTCACAAGAGTGCAGAATTCAGTCAGCGAGCGTGCACACTGAACAAACCTCCAGCGTTTCAGCTCATTCATTTCATTTTCACTTTATTCCCTTTATTTTACGTCAAAAAAAGGGGAAATGAGCAAAAGATCAATTGTATGTAGGCAGCTATCGCTCATCTAGCTAAAATAGGCTAATATATCACTAATGTTATGCTATGTTGCTGTTATTACACACATAGGGCAACAAATCATACAGTAAAATGTGATATCATATTGGTTGGCTGTTTGGATTGTGAGGAAGAAGTCTTTCAGTCTTTTAGATCCTTAATTTTTTTTTTGACATGATGCCTTTTAAACAGGAGAAGAAAGACTAATTCACCTCAACAACATGAGGACAATAAGGGGAGTGTACAGGTGAGAGGATCTGAACAAACAGATTTAATTTCACATGCACATGCTGAAATATATTTTGCGTTCGGTCACTGATATTTTGTTTTCTGTCCTCTTTTCTGCCTAAACTCTCAGTCAGGTTCTGCTGCGCTGTATGATAATGCTGTAGCCTTGTCTACAGTCTGCACACAAGAAGTTCACATAAAGGATCAGGACGTTCATTATTCAACTATTAATTTCAAGCAGTCTCACACAAAGAACATAGCTTCGGTTCCTACTGCTGTTAATTCAACCACAGATGATGTTCATTATGCTGCTGTGAAGTTCAGCTGAACCTTAGCTAAGCCCCAGCTTAAAATGTACCTACAGTACTGAACAACCCAACTATTGCTGTCTGCCGTATTGTGACCAAGCTTTTGCTCATATCAAATGTCTATGAATGTCCTGTATATTTGCATAGTTTTACAGAATTTACTCAAATTTATGGACAAAATGTTGAAGTGAGTGACTCATAGATGCCCGTAGATAATATATGTAGTTTTTTTTTTCTTTTCCATTTTTTTTAATAAACTTTTCTGTTCATTAAAGAATCCAGAAAAAGAAAACTGTATCATTGTTTCCGCTGCTTAAAATGTAGCTTTGCCATTACAGAAAATAATTAAATATATTAAAATATTTTTTTTTATTATAATTTACAATGGAATTTAATTCTAATTAATTCAATGTTTTTGAATTTGTTTTTGATCCTATAAATGCAGCCTTCGTGAGTATAATCTGGCTGCAAATTTTTGAATGGTAGTTTATATGACATAATCAGTTTTTTTATTTATTTATTGCATTACATGTAATTTACTATCATAAAATAGGAATAGGTTTAATAAAGACAATTATCTACATTTAAATTAAATGATTCTCACATTTTAATAAAATAAAATAAAAAGTATTTCAGCTGCATTAATGATTAAATGTCAAAGCAAAGTTGTTTTTGAGTTGTGATTTTCTTCTAAACTTTCAAACAAATTCCAGTTACAAAACTTTACTGATCATGTAGCCTACATTATGTCTTTTAAAATATTGTTTTATTGTATTATTATATTATATCTATTATACAGATTTACATTATGCAACTAGATTATTTCTATAAGCAGCATATTCTTGAAAACAAAAATGCTTTTCTTAATTAAAATGAGACAAAATGGAAACCAAATAATATTTTAAGGCATTTCATCCTTATCGTTATGGAATAAAATGGGCATATTTTGTGTTCTATGTAGGACTGTATTGTGGTGCCCCAATCTCCAAATTTTGGAGGGAACGAAAAGCGGCTTCAGAATAGAGCAGTGTTCATTGATAAAACAAAAAGCCTTCTTCTTTTTAGGCCTATTCCATAAAAACAATGAATGTTTAAATTAAGGTTTTAATAGATATAAAATAAAGTGCTGGTCTTGAAGTTATCTTGAGTCTTACCTTGTCCACTAGTAAGAGACGTAATTGTCACGTTGCTACTGTGAGGGAGTGCGGAGCGAGGAACGAGGAGACAAAAAGCACATCAATAAGGAGATTTAATTGTATCAAGGGAACCAGGAAAACCCACGTAGCAGAGTGACAGAATACCGGACCAATACAGAACAGTAAGCGATGCCCCCTCTCTCCTTGTTTGTTTTCCTTTTTTGAAAAGTGTTTTGTTTCCTGTTTATTTCTCCCCACGGCGATGGAAATAGTCGCTCTGTTCTCAGCCTGCTTGCTCTTGCCTGCTCCTCCAGAGCACCCTCCAGTGCCAGCTCCTCGTAAGCGCTTCCCAGTCCCTGAATCCAGCCCAGAGTGGGCTCCTGTTCCCGAGTTTAGCCCACGGAGGGCTCCTGTCCACAAGTTTAGCACAGAAAGGGCTCCAGTTCCCATGTCCAGCCCAAGGAGGGCTCCAGTAATGTCAGACTCTGTTCCTTGTTTTGTGTGTGTTTTGCTCCCCATGTGCCTTCCTTGCCCTTATTTGGTCTTCCTGTTCCTGCCCTGATTGTGTTTATTTGATTCCAGCTGTGTCCCATTGATTTCCTTGATTAGTCCCATAATATAAACCCTGTGTTTCTGAGTTTCCCTTGTCTGGAATTGTACGTCGATCCCGTGTCCTACATGTGATTTCCCTGTTGAAGAAAATAAAGTCTATGTTTATTCTGGACTCTCCTTCGTTTACTCGCTCCTTCACAGTAGGCACACTGTGACAGTAATAGTCAAATGCACTGGATTGTCATGTGACTAAATATAAAATGTGACTTGACACTCCTAAAATGTAATGATTATTAAATACTAGTGAGTCGATGCCAAGGGAGTGTAGTGGGATATTTTCAAAAGTTTCATCAACCGGAAATTATAAAACAGTTCTAATGAATAGAGCTACTGTAGTTGCTCAACAATAAGGGTGTATTTTTGGTCCTTCACACAAGATAAAAAAAAAAAAAGAATTAAGATTGGAAAGGAATGGAATGGCATTGTCTGCTTCAGCTTTTGCAACCAGCAGCTTTTCCATAAATCATTAACATCAAATTCTATGTTGGAGAAGTTCACAAAATCTAATGTAAGTATATGTGATTAAAATATCATTTTTAGTGTTGTGATGTATTTTTCTGTTTATATCTGTGGAATAACATTTTTAGGCTTTTCTGAATTTCAGATATTTCAAATTATAAAAAGAGTGAAAGAAAAAAATGGACTTCATCTCCAGATTCTTACCACTGATTCAACTGCCACACATCCCAGGTATGATTATGAAAATCCATCATAAAATTTTACATCACCCCAAAATGAAAATCATTTACTTTCCCTAAAGTTGTTTTAAAACTGTATTCAAAAAAATGTCTGTTTTTTTTTTGTCTATGAAAGTCAGTGGGGTTCAGTGTTGTTCATTCAAAACATGGATGAATGGTGAATCTCCATTTGTAAGCAAACTTCTCTTTAAAATTAGACTACCTCTCTGTGACCTGTGAAAACATTTGTGCTGTGAAGGGGACAGAAGTGACACTGAGGTGCTTTTACTCCAACATCATCAACACAACTAATGACGGCTCAGCGGCCGTCAGTCTAACAGTCACAGGTGAAACTGAATCGAGATTCTGGTCACTTCAGCTGTTTTCATTTGACATGTGATGAAGTTTTCTTAATCTTTACTCTATCTCTATTCAGACCTGAAGGTGAGGATGAATCCTGTGTCTACAGACCTGAGAAATTAGACAGTAAAACTGACTTGCGATACTTCCTGTGATTTGACGTCCAGACCTCAGAAGTATACTGGGGGGAAAAAATGCCCAGAAAAAAAAAAAAGAAAATAAATAAATAAAAGTGAAGGTAAGAAATTCTGTATATACTGAATCAACTATAATACATGAGATGCAATGGCAACAAAATTGTTGTAAATGCATTTTATGTCTTTGTATTTGTCTGTCTCAGAATCTGATGCTCCACATCTGTACATCTGCTGTCTGTCCATCGGAGCCGCTGGAGTGATGTCATTGTGCTCTTCCATTGTGACATCATCACCTAGCAACAGTCAGAACTGTCAGCAGCAACATCAGTGATGTCATAGACAGTGACATATCATTGACTGTCAGTCTGCATAATCAAACAAATCTAAAACAAAACAAAACCGTATTCCAGGTTTTAAAATTTGCTAAATGTAAGAAGAAACCTTTTATTCCTTAAAGATCCTTTAAAAATGCACTTTTGTGTTCTGTGTATCTTTAACTTCTGATTTCGTTTCTGTATTCACATTTTAGATTTCAATGGATGAATTGTAACCACAGTAACAATGCACAGAAAAATCACAAAAGCAATTTAATAAGTGGAAAAACTGGTTATTAGTATTTGTGTTAATATTTTAGGCCCAAGCAACGCTGTGTCCTGTTTAAACACAGCTTGGTAGACTTCAGTGCTTCATGATCTGAGCTGTAAAATTTTGAGCTTTTGTTTGCTACAAATATTATTTCATTTTATTTTACTTGACTTTTTTTCTTCTTGATCAGATATTGGTGGAAACAAATTAAAAGGGCATCTGATTCCCTGTTACCGACTTTATTGTAAGAAAAATTATCCAAAAAAATTTTTATGGACAAAAGTCACTATATTCTAAATTTTCACCATTGTTATTTAAAACCCGTTCCCTGTTATTTTATATTTTTTAAATAAATTTTTTGTCTATTTAGATTTCTACTTGGAAAAAATGGAAAAAAAAGATGAAAAAAAAAATGCAAATCTCATTTAAAATAAATGTTAATTTAAATAGGTCATACCGACTTCCTGAATTGAGTTTGATGGTAAATTTTTTCTGAATCGTACAAGCATTTCCTTTCTCCTTTCTCTGATTAAAAAAATGTATTTGTTCAAGTGTGTCAGTAAGAAAAGGGAAGGAAACGAGATCAGCAGAGTGGCTGCCACAGCTTTGAAAAGAGACTGTCGAAATCACAAGTAAAATCTGAGAACAACCGCAACATGTAATGTAGGTAAACCTAATATTTAATTTAATTTAAAATGTCATTTTAAGCCTGTCTTTCTAAAGTGTTTTACTGTATTCATGATTTTGACTGTAGTGACCCTTCAAGTGTGTCACAGTGAAACTCAATGAGAGTCTTCTTTTCAGGACGAGCAGCTCTGTGTCTTTCATAGTTTATGTGAATTTACACAAAGTGAAGATTATGAACTCCAGACTCTCACCGCTGATCCTGCTGCTGCTCATTCCAGGTTTGAGCATTACTGTGTGTTTTTCTCCTCTGTAATGTTTTCCTTTAAATGTGGCTATAATTATATTTCAAGTGTTCAAAGAGTGATTTCTTGAATCATTATCACTTTATATTTTCAAACAGTTGAAATTATTTCAGAAGAGTTTAACTTAGTGTCCATTAGGTCTGAATGTCAGTCTGAATGTTGGTGTAATTTAACTCACCACGTGGGCAGGATTTTCGGACAATATATATTTACAAATGGAGTGAGTAGAAAAGTTTAAAGGAGTCATGAAATGTAGAATCAAAATGTTCCTGATATTTACACATTTAAAGGGGTTCTTTAAATAATGTTCCTAAAAAGAACATTATTTGGTGTAATGAAATGTGTTTATGCAGTTTAAGGTTCAAAAAGCACATTATTTTCCACATACTGTACATTATTGTTTCTCCTCTATGCCCCGCCTTTCTGAAACGCGTCGATTTTTACAAAGCTCATCAGTCTGAAAAGTGAGGTGTGCTGTGATTGGCCAGCTATCCAGTGCGTTGTGTAGTTTCGCTTTCACAACGAAACACAGCGTCTCACACCGCGGCCTTGAGTGAGCGGAGGCCGGTGAGCTTGAGAACGGTGCGGCCGGCGGGCTTGCGGTAATCACATGTGACTCCGCTTTGTCCACGGTGAAAGCCGATCCGGCGATCCACAGCGCAAAGTTGATGTATTTCCTC